AAGTACACTCTTAAAAATGGTTCTTCAAGGGTTCTTTAGTAAAGACAGAATTGTTCTATATAGAACCCTTGAACACTCAAAGAACAATTTGCATGCTTTAATGGTTTTTTGCATGGTGAAATGGTTCTTCAGGAACCATTCTTCTTCTTTGATGGAGAATGTGCTGTATGTGGTTCTATGTATTATATGAGGTTCTGCTATTGTTACAATGTCAAGCTTTTTGGTGCTATATAGAAGCATTTTCAAAAAGGTTCTATATAGAACCTTCTACAGCACATTCTGCATCAATCTGAAGAACCCTTTCATGATGCAAAGAGGCCTTCAATCATGCAAAGGGTTCTTTGAGTGTTCATGGTTCTATAGAGAAACATTTTCTTTACTAAAGAATCCTTGAATAATCATCATTTTTAAGTGTGCACTGTAGAATGTAGTTCTGCTGTCCAGAAGCTAAAAGCAGCGAGTAAAAGCAGCGCATGCTCTGAACGTAGAGGAAAGGAGTTCCCTCTCAGCCTGACAGACGAAGACCAAGCGAGTCTGCAAAACAGAGAGCTTTTCACGTGGGTTACATCAGCGTGAAATTACCATCTCCTCACGCTTCCCACTCCTCCACCCAAAGGGGAAAAGATGGGTGGGGTAGGAAAAATGGGAAAACACTTCACAACTGCAGAAAAATTCACATGAAAAAAGAAAGAGGATGTGGTGTAAGCAGAGAATCGGGGTGGGTAGAGAGTAATGCGCAATAAACAGGAACTTGGAGCAACAGAACTCCTTTAGAATATCACCAAAACAATGTGTTAGATCAGACGCATCATCTACTGTTCTGGTAAAAAGAAATCAACACCGATGCACAACTCTGTTCTTCAGAAACGGCTCATGCTTCTGCTGAAAGCCTGGCGCACTGCATGTTTGTATGTTATTTGTAGAGCGATATATTTCACAGTTGACATTCCAGACTTGTGTATGAAGGATTATACGCCACACTCGCTGCCAAGAATAGACGTTGGGCTGAATTTTCCATATGTTAAATACGTCTGCTGGGTGTTTGTGGAAAAGCAGAATCGCCGCCATAAATGTCACTTAGAAACCTTAAAAAAGTAATAATAATAATAAAAAACGTCACAATTTCCATCCCAGATTAAAAAGAGCTTAACTCTCGACCTGAGCTGGAGAATGAAACACTGGATTTGCGCAAAATTTTAAAATATTTCTCTAAATCCACAAAAAATTTGTGCCTATTTGTTAAAGTATGGGCCACTTACTTACTATGGCAGTATATGCCAGGTACAGTTAAAGGGTCCATACACTGTCAAAGTTTCAAAACGTCAGTTCATACAGTTCGACAGCAGCTGCACAAACAGCCTCACTGTTTTTGTGATGTCATAAAAAAAGCAGATACATGTATCCGCCTATTTAGCCCATGCAGTTTAGCCCCCCCCCACTCACGCTGAAGTTATAAGGAGAGGTTCAGCACAGGACTGCTTTTTGAACAAGGCTGCCAATCAGAACAGAGCTCATTTACACATACAAGTCTTAAAGGCGAAGTAAGAAAAACTTAATTTTAATTTTTTAATTTAAAAAAGTTTAATTTTAAGGAATTTTAAGGTCATAAAATTATCAAAAAAAAGCTGTCACAATTTTTGGTACATAAAACCACACAAATGTTGGAAAAAAGTAAAATACAAGAAAAATGTAGGACAATATGGGAATTTTAATTGCCGTCACGGTATTGGCCTCTGCAATAATGATACTCCAAAATGCTGCAATATTCAAATGAGAACTCTAACCAATCACAGTATTTATTTTCTCTGTGTTGTGAACATCTTAACCAATCACAGCTCCCAAGTTTCTGTGGGTGGTTTAATGAATCGAGGTATTCAGGGTTGTAAAAGTAAATATTTTTAATAAAATAATGCAGGTTGATCTTTAAATGGGTCAGATAATTACAAACATTCTTCTATTATATTTTCTTTATAATCGCAATACGAGCATTTTGTTTTTATAATCTTATACATAAAGCTGCCATAGAACAGATGGCACCATTACACTTTGTAAAGGTTATGTCAAGTAAAGCAAATGTGCTTCAGCCCTTTATGGCACATTTCTTTTTAAGAAAGTAGTGCTCCACACTAAAAAGGCTGATTTGGAGAGATGTCCACTTTTGGTTCCCCAAAACAACCTTTCACTAGTCATTTTTCTAAAGAACTGCTTTTGTAAACGAGCTGTGTGAGTGTGAAGAACCTTCTTAAAAGTTATCATGTAAAGGTTCTATGCCAATCTGAAGGCTTTTCCAAGAACAGCACGTCCAAGCCATGTACCACTGAGGAACCTTTGTTTTGAGGAGCGCAGTATAACATGTAACACGACACTGACTCATTACGTCTTATTAAACACAGCTGTTCTGTCGCTCTAACGCAAATGATCTCGGTAACACTGTTTAAAGTCGAAACATCTCCCGATCCAAACGACCGCCGTGAATTTAAAGCCACGACAGAGAACGTTCCGAGTGGTTTCAGTGCGTCTCTCGGTGCAGTGAAGGTTACCTCAGGACAGGAGCAGGCCTTCCCCTTTCTGGCCCCGTATCTGCCTCTGTTTCGCTATCGATCTCTCCTGCGCTCCTCACCTCGCTCGCCCTCGCGCTTTCTCTCCAGTCTTGCTCTGTTTCTCCTCAGCTCTGTTTCTGTCTTTTGTCTGTTCTTCTGTTTCTGCGTGTTTTATTTCACTCGTTTGTGCTGATTATGAGCCAAAGCTGCACGATATGAACACAATGTCATATCGTGAATTTTCAGCATCGAAAGACGAATCAATTTTTTGCAATTCAGCAAATCAATTTTTAAATCGCAAGAGCTGCGATTTTAATTGTAGCCCTTTGTCAAAAGTATTAACCTAGATATAGATGAGTTACACCAATCAAAATCAACATAATACTCTCAACTGACTGACAGCGTTTAAGCCTCAACCTAGAAAAAGTGGATATTCTGGTCTTCTTGTTTAGAAAAACGGAGCTCCATTTATAGAAATTAATCGCAATTATACTGTTAGCGCTTATATTACAATGCTAGATATTGCTGTAATGATATCACTTACACAGGCTTCTTCAGTGTGAGCATTTGAGAACACAATTTTGATTGAAGAGGTCAACTTTTGTCTGAATACCCAACCACTTATATATCACTGCTGTCAGAACAAAACCTCGTATCTCCATTTTTGTTGTTTTTCAGTTTTTAACATAATATGAAAATACCTGTTGCCCTTTACATTGTCTTGAAATTTCATGATGAATGGACCAAATGTAATGTCCCAGAATTACTTGGAAAAAAGTCTGGTTCCATTGACTTACATTAAGAGTGAAGTATGTTTTTTCCTTCTCCTGTAAAGTTACCATTTTGGAGATACAAGGTTTTGTTCCGACAGCAACAAAATACTTAATGCGTGAATACAAAGCGCACAGATTTTTTTAAACTGTCGCCCAATCCCATTTCACCCCTTACACCTACCACTTAGCCCTTAGCCCTCCATATGGCCTACAGGGTAGGGTGTCCCGATTCTCGTTTAGATAGAGAGATAAGGCGAAGTGTTAGTGTTAGTGTAATGCTTCATTTCACTGCATATCAGTGCATCCGTAATACACACTGCACAACAACACATTACATAGGCAAAATAACTTGCACTTATGAAATATAGCTCCACTTTGACTCTACACGCTGACCATAACAAACCTTTTTGGGGCAATTATGCAACGTTTAAGTGATAAAGCAACATTTAAGTGTCACATATCTGGCCGTAAGAAAACAGCTGCAGTCCATTTTCTAAGCACAGAGTAATACAAAAGTATTTTTGCACTGTTGTCATAAAATTAAAGATACAACAAAGACATTTTTCATGAAAGCGATGCAAATAATGAATAGTGCAATATTTTATGGTGACGAGAAGCACAAGTGTGTAGGTCTGCAAGTATTAATATGATCAGTGAATCTGGAAATACAGTCTGGGCACCAACACAGTTTGGGCACCTCCGATCAAATTCCATGTTATTGTTGCATTTCTAAGTGTAACTAAGTGAACAGATCCTCTACAGAGAACACACTTCTGCACATTTTAATACATAATTACTAGGGGTGGGAATCTCTAGGCACCTCACGATTCAATTACGATTCAGAGGGCTGCGATACGATTACAAAACGATTATCGATGCATCTTTTTTTTCTACATAGCATTTATATTTTCTCACTGTGTGAGCTCAAGTTTCGAGTTCAAGTTTAAGTTTATTTGTCACTTGCACAACATGTCAGGACATTTATGCATTGAAATGCTTGTGGTGAGGCTCTGCTAATCACTCTACAGAAAGTAAATAAGTAAAAATAAAAATACAAGAAAAACCAACTGAAATATATTAAATATACACAAAATATACACAGAATATAGAGAAAATATGCATTTTAAAGTGACTAAACTTAAACTTAAAGTGACTAAACTTAAACTTAATAAAATCACTTAAAGCAGGTAAAAATGTCTAGAAATAAGGTCATCCTAAATTAAGTTTACAACAATCTCAAAAAGAGGAATATTACATTTACTGACTATATTTAAGATAATTTTACTTGATAAGATACCATTTATTGCAGTGATCTCATTTAAAATATGTTAAACTCAGTAAAAAAAAAAAACGTAATTATGCATTAAAGTGTGCAGAAGTGTGTTCTCTGTAGAGGATCTGTTCACTTAGTTACACTTAGAAAATCAACAATAACATGGACTTGCAGACGGCTGTAAATGTCTGAAACATTTTACTCACAGTACCTTTGAGATCAGCTACATTTCAGCCAATTCAATTCAGTTTTAATTCAAAAACCCAACTGAGAGCTGAAATTCACAGAACTTCATCTTCACGTTTTTTCTGTACGCCTACACACCTCGATTTTTCCCTCCGCTGGGTGGAAGCTATGATGCAACACAGCCAGCTTAACATTTAACTGTACAGAATAAGCAGCACATTGACTTACGGCTGACAGAGCTTGACCAGGTCCTGGTCGGTGGTCCCTGGATGGAGGCCCCGAATGTAGAGATTAGTTTTGCTCAGCTGTTCCCCTCCCCCTGCACTGCTAGCGCTGCTACTGTTGGTGTTGGGACTGGGGGGTGCCATCTGGTGGCTGGAGGATACATAGGACTGCTGCAAAGAGAACACAAACAGAAAACATAATTGCTATTGGGCTACTGCTGAACATACCACACACTCTTGTAGAAAACTTTCAGCGTCTTAATTATCGTCCAAAGAAAACAATTGTATGATACAGATGTACAAATGAAAACATTTGAGCATTTATCATCTTCATCAATATCATTTATAGCATCATCATGATCAATTATCAACTATCCTTCCAAAACCCTGAGCTTCACTAAATTAATAAAAGCAATGATACATCAATCATCCAAGCTGCTGTGTTTCCTATCACTGTGTAAAAGAAGCTCCTTTCTGCCTTTATTGTTGGATGCACTGCACACGCATTCAGCATGTCGTTCACATCAGTAAGCGCTTATTATTGACTGGTTTAACCAGAGTAACAAAAATAGAAGTGTGAAGTATATTCCTTTCAGAAGTATCATTAATCATAAACATAGTTTGTATGTTTGTCACGTTAATTACATGTTAAAGCAAGTGCCACAACTGCATTGAAAAATCATGTTATTAGGGGAGAACATTGTAATAATATCAGATTCAATTGAATATTTTAAGATGCAAGTAATTTTATGGCTTTAATCGCAGTGGCACCTACAGCTGGTGCTCAGTGATAGTTTGTTTGTTTCTTTGTATTTATTCCAAGTTTGGAATAAATAGTTACTGCCACATTTTATCAAATTATATAAAATTTATGCACAGTTTTGTGCACAACTATGCGCTCACTGTACTCACACAGATGCTGTCATAAATGTGACTGATGTGTGAAGTATATTCTTTCCGTATAATGGAGCTGAATGAGCGGGCTGTATTCACTCTGGACTGTGAGCAGTGAACACTGGCACGCAGTTTTAACTGCGTCCTTGGCCTCAGTGTCCTCAACCCAACGTACACTGCTTAATGCAAGAAAGGAGCCAAAACACCCACACGGCATAAACCCACGGCCTCACTAGCGATAATACCTCCCAAAGCCTTTGGCCTCAGCCCCTCCTCACCCGTTTCCTCTCTTCATTGGTTCAGCCCATTGTCTCTGCTTTCTAATAATAACATTGTGCAACCTTCAGACACACATAATGGAGAAACCTCAGTGAAATGTACAGAAACTTTGCGTCCAAGGATCATTTGCGGCGGCATGAATCATCGCACAAGAGGAAATGAGGGGATACGCAGCCATAAGCAACAAAGCACTCTTTGAAAGCTTCACCCCGCCCCCCGCCCCCCCACCCAACCACCACCACCGACATTCTCCATGCAGCACTGCTTTGATCAGGATACGAATCACACTGATACTCATACTTTAATATCACGCATTATCCCTGAAAAGGTATTTAAAGTACTTTGCCGCTGGCCAACAACAGCACACTTCAACATTTTTTACGTAATGTAACACCAGTGGACTACAACAAAACTTTGACTAATGACAAAATGTTGGTTTAGTTTCCAAAAGACACCGAATTAACAAGGGATTTGAATTCCAATTTTACAACTTTAATATCCGCAAGAGGTAATTTGAGCTTTTCAACCAAGGAAAATCCCTTAGTCATTGAGCTTCAGTCACGAAGGCTGGGCCTTCACATGAGCTACAGAGCTAACGCTAACACAAGGGCAGGCCTTACTAGTTGGCATTAATACGGTGAAAAAGTTAGCATTAAGTAAATAAGTTAGCATTAATATGGTGAAAAAATTAGCATTAATAAAGTGGATAAGTTGGCATTAATACGGTGAATAAGTTAGCATTAAGATGGTGAATAAGTTAGCATTAAGATGGTGAATAAGTTAGCATTAATATGCTGTGCTGCTACTATATGCTTAAAGACTTTGTTCTGGTTGTTTTGTTTTTTTCTGTTTTCCTCTCTCCTAATTACACCAAAGTGAATCTTACACAGCACTGTAAACGTTAACCAGACAGAAAACATATTTAAGTTAAACAGAACAGAATAAAAAAAAATAAATATGAACTGATTCACAACAGGAATATTGCTATGCTTATGTTAACTGTTTATCAAATGCATTCTTTAAAAATATGACTGACACGGTATAGATGTTACACTATATGGACAAAAGTATGTGGACACCTGACCATCACACCTGTATGAGTTTCTTTACACCACTTCAGGCATGGCGCACAGTTATCTTAGCCTGTGTACAGCAGGTCAGCCATTGAGGCCCTTTTCATAAAGCTCCTTACGCACAATTCTTGTGCTGATGTTGTTTCCAGAGGCAGTCTGGAACTCTGCAGTGATTGATGCAACAGAGGATTGGCGAGTTTTATGTGCTACACGTTTCAGCACTCGCTGGTCCCACTCTGTGAGTTTGTGTGGTCTACCGCCTTTTGGCTGAGCTGTTGCTCCTAGATGCTTCCATTTAACAATGATAGCACTTACAGTTGTCTGGGACAGATCTAGCAGATCAGAAATTTCACAAACTGACTTGTGGCAAAGGCATCCTATGACAGTGCCACTCTTAAAGTCACTGAGCTCTTCGGTATGACCCATTCTACCGTCAGTGTTTGTCTATTGAGACAGGTTTGGCTGAAACACCTAAACCCAATAAATGAGAGAGGTGTCCACTTATTTTTGGCCATATAGTGTATATCCCCAAGCATTAATTTCTACTGATGCACTGATAACTATAACAATAACTGATACTTAGCACCTTGTTTTATCTGATACCAATATCAAAAACAGATGGCTTGTGGGATTCTACGCATGGTTCATGTACCAATACATATTAGCTTGTTGACAAAACACTAAGAAGGTTATCAGATTGGCAATAAAGTCTACACTCATCAGCATGTTTCATGCGGTGTCTTTGGGGGAACGGTGCTTATTTTACGTTTGGTAAGCGGAATCAGAAGACAGAGGAGGTGAAGGCAGACAGGAATAACATTTAAACAGCAAAACTACCGCTGTGATCAGAGAAAACGAGATATTGAGAAAATGTTAAAATCAGAATCAGAATCAGAATCAAGCTTTATTGGCCAGGTATGCTTACACATACAAGGAATTTGGTTTTGGTTACAGACCCACTCTACTGTCAGTGTTTGTCTACCGAGACTGCAAGATTGATTTACCCCTGCTAGCCTCAGGTTTGGCTGAAACACCTAAACTCAATAAATGAGAGAGGTGTCCACTTATTTTTGGCCATATAGCGTATATCTCCCAGCATTAATTTCTAATGATGCACTGATAACTACAACAATATGTCATTAATCTTCTGGTAGTAATCAAAATGTCAGTAATCTTTTTAAAAGGTGAGCAAACATCATTTTAAATTTAAAAAGAAATGTGAAATGTGTTTACATGCATCTACTCTCCACTATAGCCTCGTTCATAATCTTAAACATGAGCAAAACTGTTGTGCTTTACAGTAAAATGACTCCACAGAGCTCTAATTACATTACACAGATGGGTTTGGTTCAAATAAATATAAAGTTTGTTTTGATTAAAAACAAACGATTTCAAAATAGCGCGTGCAAAATAGTCATTATATGAAACATCCTAAGTGATATATAAACAACACAAAAACCTGAACTGCCTCATAGAAAACTTCTCCATCACAAAAGTATGTTTAAAATATGTGCAAAATGTATGTATTAGCTATATGTTACAGTTTTTTTACTACAGTAAACTGTGCATGCAGGCATTTTGGCACCTGGGATACGTGCCTACTATGCCTGCAGAAACTCGTCAAATATGATTAATATTACTTACATTTTTAAATTTTATAAAAATTCATTTGATGTTGTAAATCAAAAATATAACAGAACCCAAAATTTTGCCATGACGAGGTTTTGCAGACCTCTACTTATGATAACATAGAGCAGGGGTGTCCACCACTAAAAGGGCCATAGTAAAAAACCTCTACAAATCTGTGATCCAGAGAACGTCTGTGTTGTTATTTGATTGTTAAATAACATTTTGCCATAACTTGAGCTGGACATTGTTTATTCAAAATATGCCAAAACCAACATCACCAACATCAAAATAAAGACAGTTATGGTGAACCTTGAAATATTACATAATGAATACTTCAAATATTAAAAATAAAATAAATAAATGATTAAAATAGCATTGTTCACATTACAATAGGCTACATTACATCACATTACACACATTATGTTGCAGTGCATGCTGGGGATTGTAGTGCAGCGCATTGTGAAATTGGTTAATATCAATAGACAACGAAAATAATTTCGCAGGCTAGGATTATGCCATGGGCCTTAGACCATTGAGCCTAGAGGACAAACTTTAGCATTAGCTAGAAAACAGTGATTAAATTAGCCTCATTAGCTATAGCTGCCTTAAAAATACCTGACGAACAACGCAGGCATATAATGTTGACTCATAAAAACCTTATGTCCAATGATTATGTCTGAAAACATCTAGTATCTGTTCATGATAGACCAGTACAAACATTCAATGAGCAATATTAGATAAAACTAGTATATACTAGGCTATTAAACACAATATCACTTAAGCATAAAAGACCTTTGCCCACCATACAAAGACAAGGCTGAGGTTGTGCCCGCTGTAAAAGTACCATCCAGAACACTGTTCTACAGGATTTACAGCCTTAGACTATAAAACAGTCCAGAAGTATCCAGACATCCCTTCTACTGAGTGCATTCAGCTACTTTAGGGTCACTAATTGCTCACACAGCTTGTAATCTCCACAGAAAAGCACTGACCAATAGAATGGGGTGCTCTTGCATGAGCCTAAGGTCACCATGTCCAATGCCAAGCGTTGGTTAAAGGGGTATAAAGCCCCCAGCATCGGGCTGTGAAGCAGTGGAACTGTGTTCTCTGGAGTGATGGAGCTCCAGCCAATATGTGTGGTATGAGCTGGAGTGATCCAGAACTGACCATCCAACATCAGTACCTGACCTCAATAATGCTCAATCAAATCCTCACAGCAATGTTCTAAGATCTAGTGCAAGGCCTTCCCAGAAGAGTAGAGGCTGTTACTGCAGCACAAACTCACTATTAATACCC